CACCACGCGGTCCAGCAGGTCGTGGAGAGGGTGCTGGCACAGATCCCGAATTTCCAGGGCTTCACGCTGCCGGCGCTCTGTCACCTCGTGCTCCACTTCTCTGCAGCGTTTCTTCATGAAAGCTTGCAATGACGACGCCCTTTGCTTCAGGAAGGGACGCAGGGACCGGCACGTCTTCGCGAGGCGCCGCCCCACGTCCAGGTCTTGCACCACTGCCTCGACGGCCAGCAGCCGCGGTGGTAGCTCTAGCCGGCCACGACGTTGGCTCCACGGACCTTCAGCTTGCCACAGTGAGCGATACTGGCCCCAAGCGGGGACCGTGGATAAATTCAAAACGCCACTCAGGAAGGCGGTGTCGGGTAGTCGGAGGAGTGCGTGCGCAGTCCCCGCCAGGCACCGGAGTACGAGCACACCAGCGGGACCCGGCAGGTGCTGCTGCTGCCAAGTCCGGGAGCACGCCCTAAACGGCCCTGCTGCTTGGGGAGCCCGCCGCTCCGTCGGAGAACAGCGCCGGCGCTTGGCCGCATCGGCGGGCGCGGCAGATTTCCCCATAGCTGGCGGGGTACTACTTTCGGGCCCGCAACAGTAAAAGTACTTCGGACACTGAAGCTGCAGGATGACAATCTTGCATACCGGAAGGGTCGCAAAGAGACAAATCCTGGAGCTTCGAGGCGTCAAAACATAGTGAAACTCAGAGCGCTAGCAGGGGCCCGGAATAGATGGAACCTGGAGCGCTGTAAGGGGCTCAAAGTCAGTGTGACCCGGAGCGCTCGAAGGAGCCCACAGTAGGTGAAACCTGGAGCTGTCGGAGGGGCTCATATACTCTTGGGGAAATCTGGAGAGCTCGAGGGTGCCCGAGGTGGCTGGGGCCTGGAGCTCGTAGAAGGAGGCCCAAAGTAAGTGCAACCCAGAGCTATTGAGGGGCCCAAGCTAGGTGAAACCTGGATCTCTCAAATAAGCGAAACCTGGAGTTCTCCAAGGAGCTTACAGTACGGGAGGAGCCCAAAGCAGGCGAAGCCTGGCACTCTCGAAGAAGCACAGAGTAAATGAAACCTGGCGCCCCCGAAGGGGCCGAACCAGAACGCTCGAAGGGGCTCGGAGTAGGTGAAACTTGAAGCGCTCGAGGCAGGCCATCCCGAATTCTTTTTTTTTGCACATCATGCCGCGCACGCACTGCAGCGATTGTTCAGACCTGGCGCTAGACAACTGCGCTGGACAGTTCGGAGCGAATGTGTGGCCCGGCCTCGTCCAGTAGGTCGTCTTCCCAAGCCCACGCCTGGGAATGGAAGCTGTGGCGCCACCGGTAGCAGGATGGATCCGGCAAGCCCTCCGCTTCTTCGCCTCGGCCCGTGCGAGATGGGTTGCTGACCCGATTCTGATAGATCTGAGTGGGAGACAGACCCAGCCGTTCTCTTTCAGCACATCCACGGCCTCCTGGATCTTGAAGATACCCTTGCGAG